TATTTATTGTCATCTTCCCAGAATTACTGATGTTTTCTTGTAGTTTCTAACATTCGGCCTTCTTGTACAGGTATAAACATTGGGAACATGGAAAAACAACTACCTAAACACTGTTATGAACCTGAAAAGCTCGTGAAGTTTGTCTCTCACCTATGTCAAAGAGTTTAATGATACATTTCAGTGAAGTGTAAGGCTTTCCACAGCTGCTAAATGTGTTTATATCTCTATTTCAAGTGAATTCTCCCTTGTATTTCACAAATTTCCAATTCTAGGCTACTTTAAGAAAACAACATAGGATTCATACACTGTTTAATGTGCTCTAAACGCGAATTAAGGAATTCCTGGACCTAAGATATCTTTTTTACATGAACAACTCAGTTGGAGAAGTGTTTTGTACATGTTCTATGCAAGTTCTCATCTATTTATTGTCATTTTCTCAGAATTACTCATGTTTTCTTGTAGTTTCTAACATTCGGCCTTCTTGTCCAGGTATAAACATTGGGAACATGGACAAACAACTACCTAAACACTGTTATGAACCTGAAAAGCTCGTTAATTTTGTCTCTCACCTATGTAAAAGAGTTTAATGATACATTTCATTGAAGTGTAAGGATTTCCACAGCTGCTAAATGTGTTTATATCTCTATTTCAAGTGTATTCTGCCTTGTATTCCACACATTTACCATTCTAGGCTACTTTAAGGAAACAACATATGATTCATACACTGTTTAATGTGCTCTAAACTCGAATTAAGGAATTCCTGGTCCTAAGATATCTTTTCTACAGGAACAACTCAGTTGGAGAAGTGTTTTGTACATGGTCTATATGAGTTCTCATCTATTTATTGTCATTTTCCCAGAATTACTGATGTTTTCTTGTAGTTTCTAAAATTAGGCCTTCTGGTCCAGGTAGAATAGTTGGGAACATGGACAAACAACTACCTAAACAGTGTTATGAACCTGAAAAGCTCGGGAACATTGTCTGTCACCTATGTTATTGAGTTTAATGATACATTTCAGTGTAGTGTAAGGCTATCCAAAGCTACTAAATCTGTTTATATATCTATTTCAAGTGTACTCTGCCTTGTTTTTCACACATTTGCCATTCTAAGTACTTTAAGGAAACAACATAGGATTCATACACAGTTTAATGTGCTCGAAACCCGAATTTAGGACTTCTTTTCCCTAACATATCTTTTATACAGGAACAACTCAGTCGGAGAAAAGTTTTATATATGTTGTATGCGAGTTCTCATACATTTATTTTCATTTTTCCAGAATTACTGATGTTTTCTTGTAGTTTCTAACATTCGGCCTTCTTGTCCAGGTATAAACATTGGGAACATGGACAAACAACTACCTAAACACTGTTATGAACCTGAAAAGCTCGTGAATTTTGTCTCTCACCTATGTCAAAGAGTTTAATGATACATTTCAGTGAAGTGTAAGGCTTTCCACAGCTGCTAAATGTGTTTATATCTCTATTTCAAGTGAATTCTCCCTTGTATTTCACAAATTTCCAATTCTAGGCTACTTTAAGAAAACAACATAGGATTCATACACTGTTTAATGTGCTCTAAACGCGAATTAAGGAATTCCTGGACCTAAGATATCTTTTTTACATGAACAACTCAGTTGAAGAAGTGTTTTGTACATGTTCTACGCAAGTTCTCATCTATTTATTGTCATTTTCTCAGAATTACTCATGTTTTCTTGTAGTTTCTAACATTCGGCCTTCTTGTCCAGGTATAAACATTGGGAACATGGACAAACATCTACCTAAACACTGTTATGAACCTGAAAAGCTCGTGAATTTTGTCTCTCACCTATGTAAAAGAGTTTAATGATACATTTCAGTGAAGTGTAATTCTTTCCACAGCTGATTAATGTGTTTATATCTCTATTTCAAGTGTATTCTGCCTTGTATTTCACACATTTACCATTCTAGGTACTTTAAGGAAACAACATAGGATTCATACACTGTTTAATGTGCTCTAAAAGCGAATTAAGGAATTCCTGGACCTAAGATATCTTTTCTACAGGAACAACTCAGTTGGAGAAGTGTTTTGTACATGTTCTATGCAAGTTCTCATCTATTTATTGTCATTTTTCCAGAATTACTGATGTTTTCTTGTAGTTTCTAACATTCGGCCTTCTTGTCCAGGTATAAACATTGGGAACATGGACAAACAACTACTTAAACACTGTTATGAACCTGAAAAGCTCGGGAACATTTTCTCTCACCTATGTAAAAGAGTTTAATGATACATTTCAGTGAAGTGTAAGGCTTTCCACAGCTGCTAAATGTGTTTATATCTCTATTTCAAGTGTATTCTGCCTTGTATTTCACACATTTACCATTCTAGGTACATTAAGGAAACAACATAGGATTCATACACTGTTTAATGTGCTCGAAACCCGAATTTAGGAATTCCTGGACCTAAGAAATCTTTTCTACAGGAACAACTCAGTCGGAGAAAAGTTTTATACATGATCTATGCGAGTTCTCATCTATTTATTGTCATTTTCCCAGAATTACTGATGTTTTCTTGTAGTTTCTAACATTTGGCCTTCTTGTCCAGGTATAAACATTGGGAACATGGACAAACAACTACCTAAACACTGTTATGAACCTGAAAAGCTCGTGAAGTTTGTCTCTCACCTATGTCAAAGAGTTTAATGATACATTTCAGTGAAGTGTAAGGCTTTCCACAGCTGCTAAATGTGTTTATATCTCTATTTCAAGTGAATTCTCCCTTGTATTTCACAAATTTCCAATTCTAGACTACTTTAAGAAAACAACATAGGATTCATACACTGTTTAATGTGCTCTAAACGCGAATTAAGGAATTCCTGGACCTAAGATATATTTTTTACATGAACAACTCAGTTGGAGAAGTGTTTTGTACATGTTCTATGCAATTTCTCATCTATTTATTGTCATTTTCTCAGAATTACTCATGTTTTCTTGTAGTTTCTAACATTCGGCCTTCTTGTCCAGGTATAAACATTGGGAACATGGACAAACAACTACCTAAACACTGTTATGAACCTGAAAAGCTCGGGGACATTGTCTCTCACCTATGTTATAGAGTTTAATGATACATTTCAGTGTAGTGTAAGGCTATCCAAAGCTGATAAATGTGTTTATATCTCTATTTCAAGTGTATTCTGCCTTGTATTTCACACATTTACCATTCTAGGTAATTTAAGGAAACAACATAGGATTCATACACTGTTTAATATGCTCTAAACGCGAATAAAGGAATTACTGGATCTAAGATACCTTTTTTACATGAACAACTCAGTTGGAGAAGTGTTTTGTACATGTTCTATGCAATTTCTATTCTATTTATTGTCATTTTCTCAGAATTACTCATGTTTTCTTGTAGTTTCTAACATTCGGCCTTCTTGTCCAGGTATAAACATTGGGAACATGGACAAACAACTACCTAAACACTGTTATGAACCTGAAAAGCTCGTGAATTTTGTCTCTCACCTATGTAAAAGGGTTTAATGATACATTTCAGTGAAGTGTAATTCTTTCCACAGCTGCTAAATGTGTTTATATCTCTATTTCAAGTGTATTCTGCCTTGTATTTCTTTTTTTTTTTTTTTTTTTTTTTTTTTTTTTTTTTTTTCTTCTAATAAAATAATTATTTTAATGAAGTATTTGAAATAATTTCAAACATCTGATCAATAAGATTATACACAAATATGAGAATATGCCACAAAAAAATAAAGTTAAGCATTTAAATATACAAAAACAAATTTAGGTATAGATCTTTTCGTAAAGTACTCTTAACATATACATAATTTATAACACGTACACAGTAACTTCTGGAACGAAAGATGGGCCACTCTGAGACTCGCCTGAGCGGTGTGGCCGTGACAGCCCCGGAAAGGCGGGCGAAGGCCCCACTCGGGGGCTTTCCCCTGGATTCTCCGGGTTAGAGGCAGCGCTTGCCCACTTCCGTGGAACTTTCTTGGAGTGTACTCTCCTCCGTGACTGACTACAGCGACCATTTGTCAGCACGGTGGCATTTGAAACAAAACAGCAAAACAAAGCAGGGTCTGCTTCAGTGAAATCAGCCTCGTGGGCGAGTCTAGAACATGCTTCTCAGATGCACGTGGAGCCAAGCCCGAGAGCTGCCAACCCTGCACTGGGTCTAGAACCCCCCCAGAGTCCTGTTAAAACCTTTATGTCAGCAATTAGGATTTCTTTAATGCAACAAGGTGCTTAAAACACAGGGCAACTAAAAGCGTTTACAAAACTGTCCTTGAGGTTAAAGCGATCACAGAACAGAGAACTTGGTTTTGGAGACTGCAGATTCGAAACGTTGCGAACATTCCCTTTGCTCAGGCTGGCTGTTTTCCATCAACAAAACACGGCCTGAGCTCTGGGCCCGACTCCCCACTGCCCTGCCCCGCCACGGGCATAGGCGGCCGCTTCTGGCTTCTGCTCCTCTTCCTTCTCCCTGCTCAGTGTGGCGCAGGCCTTCAGCCCTGGTCCGCTCCGCCTTCTCCGTCTGCCGTGAGGTATGTCAGCAGCTACACCGTCAGCTTTCCCAGCGAGCTGGCCTCCTGTGGCCGCAGCCGCATCATGTGGACGGAGGACAGCAGCTCAGCACACGGTCCCCTAGGTCCCACCGGGCCCCGTCTGACACGGGACTCAGCGGCCAGTGGCCCGGCCTACCCCTGTGGCTGGTCACCTTCAGCGTCAGGAGGCGGCTAAGCAACGGGTTCCACAGAGCCCCTGGGGAGATGCCGCCAGCGGCAACCGCCCGGCACCCCGAGGGCGGTGCTGGGATGCTGGGAGAGCCTGCCCAGCAGTCCCTGCACAGAAGCAGATGCCTGCGTCTGCGTGACCGTCACGACCGGTTCCCAGGTGCACGTAAGTAACGGAAGTTCCTGACTGTAAACAAGGGCCCGGTGCTGGGCCCCACAGGGAGCTCCGGGCCGAGCCTTCGCCCTGGGCGGGAGGGACAGCGGGCGGAGGCCTCACTTGAGAAGCGCGAGGTAGAGAGCGCGCGAGTGCTTCATGTCCCGCTCCTGCTCCATGCAGAACACCAGGTCCCGCAGGCAGACCCGCGTGGCCTGCGGGCGGGGCAGCTGCCTGCTGCCTGCCAGGCCGCAGGTCCTGGGAGCCAGAGGGTTGTCCTTCAAGCCCTCGCTCCCGGGCGCAGCCTCCAGCGGCCTCTTCCTCCTCGGCCCGATGGCAGCCAGGGCGGTGAGGTTGGCGTCTCGCTGCTGGATCTGTGCGAGCTCCATCTGCTGCAGCTCCTTGGCTTTCTGCTTCAGCCTCAGCTGCTCTGGATCTTCTTTATTGGAACGGCTCTTGGCGGCCTTCAGCAACATCTCTCTTTCCTCCAAGTCCTTCCTCTGCTTCTCCAGCTGATCCAGCTTCTCGAGGAATTTGAGCTGTGACCGGTATCACTAGACAGGATGTAACTGTCACTCGTCTTGTAGGCCGTCATCCGGTGCCGAGCAATGGTGGTCAGCTTCTCCAGGAGGCCTCGCAGCCGCTCCTGTGTTGCATGGGAGATCAAATTCACGGCCTCAGAGCTCAGCTCCGTAATGTCATGCTTTTTACCAATGTCTAAAATCCTCTTCTGTAGAGCTCCAACGAAGAGGAATGGCTCATCTCTACACGACTGAATGAGTGTGCCAACCAGTTTGGAGTTTGTTGCTAAGATGCAGGCGTTTTCCTCATTGAGGTTGACCCCGGCCATGAAAGTCACATCATTGATGTCATCTTCATCTCTCAAGGACATCGCTCCATTCTCCTTGGTTTTATCTTTCTGAATAGAAGATACTTGAAGAGACAGGATTTTATTTCCTGGCAGGGTAGTTTGTTTTAGAATGGAAGCGGAAGCTACCGCAGTGGTCACTGGCATCTTCTTCTGAAGGGTCAGTGCTGAGGAAGGGAGAGGTGTGCCCGCTTGTGTAAGGCCCCCTGCCGGCTGCTGGACGACTAGCTGCTTGACTTTCACTGCCTGTGGGAGAGCAGCCGATTGGGGAAGGATGGGTCCTGGCGGTGCGAGTGTGATCTGGACTGGCTTCTCAGAGGAGGTCCCCGCAGAAGTGACAACTGTTTTCACAGACACCGACGGAAGACAAAGAGCAGATGAAGGTTCTCCCACAGTTACTGACGGGAGGGCCAACGTCACGCCAGCTCTGCAGACCACAGGCTTTTCAGGTGGAAGCGAGATGGCAGTCACGGTATTCTGTGCAGTCGCCACAAGTGGCTTTGGAGTCGGCAGCACAATGGTTCCAGCTGCTGCTCCTCCTGCTGCAGCAGCTGGACCCACAGAATGAACTGTCACAACTCCAGCTTTGGCTCCCGCTGGGCCAACCAAGGAATTCAGGCTCTGTACCGACACAGTTCTGGGTGTGGCTGCTCCAGAAACGCCGAGGGCCTTTTCGGCCGGGACAGAGGAGTCTGCTGCTGTCACCACAGCAGAGGCCGGTGCGGTGCAGGTAGCGGCGCCGGCCTCCCCAGAGGGCTGCTGAACACACTGCTGGATGAAGCTCTGGGAGCTGGGCAAGAGCTGTCGCAAGGCACTCACACTTTTCTTAAGGAAGGGGACTAGGTGAGGCTGGGGTGAAGACTTGAGTTCAACATACAGTTGTCTGGTAAATTCCTCCGCTTCGATTTTTGCATCCAAAAGTTGTTCCACCAGCTTCTTGACATTCTGCCCCATTTCTGGGGACTGTGATCCACTACACGCTAGTTTTATTAACATCGCAAGGAAGTTCTTACATTTCTTCACATTCTCTAGCATCGCCGGAGTAAGACTGGTCTGAGCAGCTGCGGAGCTCCCTGCATTGGGGGTGGGCTCGCTAGAAAGGGTATGTGCTGCTCCCAAACTTGAAGGCTTCAAGGTGGTTACAGTATTCGACGGCTTCACGGGAGTGACTGTGACAACGCTGGATGGCACCGCCACAGTCTGTACCAAGGAAGGCTTTGTAACTGTGGTTACCACGGTAGCTCCCATTTGTGCCAGTTGTTTAACAGGTGCCACGGCCACTTTCTTGATTAACTGTGAGTTAGAATTCGGCATTGCACAGATTTTGACTGTTTGAGGATTCGCTGGTAGAGCCGGCCTTGAAATTATGGTACTTGTAGTCTCGGCTCTTGTTACAGGTTGCTGAGGAGATACCAACATCAACTGACCACTGTTACTTTTGATCAAAACTGTTCCTGGCGGCAGCTGGAGGTGCGCGGGCAGCTGGATGGCGGCGGCGGGCGCCTTCACGGCGACAATCTGCGCGGCGGGCAGCGCGCTGACAGGAGCCCCCGGGGCCGCCAGGGGCCCCGCCGGGGGCCGCGGGGGCTGCGCGGCCGCGGGCTCCACGCGGACCTGGACCGGAGCCTTCGTCACGGCGCCCGGGGCCGCGGACGCGCCCTCCGCGCGGAACGGCCGCGCCCCGGCCGAGGAGCCGCCGCCGGCGGCCGGGGGCGCGGGGCCGGCCGGCTGCGGGAGGCCGGCGGGCATGGCGGGGCTCAGCGGCGCCGCCGGCCCGGGAGCGCGGGCGGGCGCGGGCTGGTCCCGCGGCGGCCGGCTCCGGGCGCCGGCCGGCTCCTCAGCATCTCCGGGCGGAGCGCGGGCCGCCGCGGGGCCGCTGACAGGCGCCGCCGGCCGGGACGCGGGACCCGCGCTGAGGGCTCCGCCGCTCCCGCCGCGGCGCCCGCACGTGCGCCGGCTCCGCCCGGCGCCTCCGCCTGTCCCGCCGCGGAGAGCCCGGCGGCGGCTCCGGAAGGGGCGTCCGCGAGGCGCTCGCCTCTCGCCGCCGGCCGCGCTCCGCCCGCGTTCCCGCCGCAAGTTTCAAACCCTCCGCCGGCGACCCCCGCCGCACGCCGCGCGCCCTCTGCCTTGTATTTCACACATTTACCTTTCTAGGTACTTTAAGGAAACAACATAGGATTCATACACTGTTTAATGTGCTCTAAACGCGAATTAAGGAATTCCTGGACCTAAGATATCTTTTCTACAGGAACAACTCAGTTGGAGAAGTGTTTTGTACATGTTCTATGCAAGTTCTCATCTATTTATTGTCATTTTCCCAGAATTACGGATGTCTTCTTGTAGTTTCTAACATTCGGCCTTCTTGTCCAGGTATAAATATTGGGAACATGGACAAACAACTACTTAAACACTTTTATGAACCTGAAAAGCTCGGGAACATTTTCTCTCACCTATGTAAAAGAGTTTAATGATACATTTCACTGAAGTGTAAGGATTTCCACAGCTGCTAAATGTGTTTATATCTCTATTTCAAGTGTATTCTGCCTTGTATTCCACACATTTACCATTCTAGGCTACTTTAAGGAAACAACATATGATTCATACACTGTTCAATGTGCTCTAAACGCGAATAAAGGAATTCCTGGATCTAAGATACCTTTTTTACATGAACAACTCAGTTGGAGAAGTGTTTTGTACATATTCTATGCAAGTTCTATTCTATTGATTGTCATTTTCTCAGAATTACTCATGTTTTCTTGTAGTTTTTTACATTCGGCCTTGTTGTCCAGGTATAAACATTGGGAACATGGACAAAAAACAACCTAAACACTGTTATGAACCTGAAAAGCTCGTGAATTTTGTCTCTCACCTATGTAAAAGAGTTTAATGATACATTTCAGTGAAGTGTAATTCTTTCCACAGCTGCTAAATGTGTTTATATCTCTATTTCAAGTGTATTCTGCCTTGTATTTCACACGTTTACCATTCTAGGCAACTTACAGGAAACAACATAGGATTCATACACTGTTTAATGTGCTCTAAACGCGAATTAAGGAATTCCTGGACCTAAGATATCTTTTCTACAGGAACAACTCAGTTGGAGAAGTGTTTTGTACATGTTCTATGCAAGTTCTCATCTATTTATTGTCATTTTCCCAGAATTACTGATGTTTTCTTGTAGTTTCTAACATTCGGCCTTCTTGTCCAGGTATAAACATTGGGAACATGGACAAACAACTACTAAAACACTTTTATGAACCTGAAAAGCTCGGGAACATTTTCTCTCACCTATGTAAAAGAGTTTAATGATACATTTCAGTGAAGTGTAAGGATTTCCACAGCTGCTAAATGTGTTTATATCTCTATTTCAAGTGTATTCTGCCTTGTATTCCACACATTTACCATTCTAGGCTACTTTAAGGAAACAACATATGATTCATAAACTGTATAATGTGCTCTAAACGCGAATTAAGGAATTCCTGGATCTAAGATACTTTTTCTACATGAACAACTCAGTTTGAGAAGTGTTTTGTACATGTTCTATGCAAGTTCTCATCTATTTATTGTCATCTTCCCAGAATTACTGATGTTTTCTTGTAGTTTCTAACATTCGGCCTTCTTGTACAGGTATAAACATTGGGAACATGGAAAAACAACTACCTAAACACTGTTATGAACCTGAAAAGCTCGTGAAGTTTGTCTCTCACCTATGTCAAAGAGTTTAATGATACATTTCAGTGAAGTGTAAGGCTTTCCACAGCTGCTAAATGTGTTTATATCTCTATTTCAAGTGAATTCTCCCTTGTATTTCACAAATTTCCAATTCTAGGCTACTTTAAGAAAACAACATAGGATTCATACACTGTTTAATGTGCTCTAAACGCGAATTAAGGAATTCCTGGACCTAAGATATCTTTTTTACATGAACAACTCAGTTGGAGAAGTGTTTTGTACATGTTCTATGCAAGTTCTCATCTATTTATTGTCATTTTCTCAGAATTACTCAAGTTTTCTTGTAGTTTCTAACATTCGGCCTTCTTGTCCAGGTATAAACATTGGGAACATGGACAAACAACTACCTAAACACTGTTATGAACCTGAAAAGCTCGTTAATTTTGTCTCTCACCTATGTAAAAGAGTTTAATGATACATTTCAGTGAAGTGTAAGGATTTCCACAGCTGCTAAATGTGTTTATATCTCTATTTCAAGTGTATTCTGCCTTGTATTCCACACATTTACCATTCTAGGCTACTTTAAGGAAACAACATATGATTCATACACTGTTTAATGTGCTCTAAACTCGAATTAAGGAATTCCTGGTCCTAAGATATCTTTTCTACAGGAACAACTCAGTTGGAGAAGTGTTTTGTACATGGTCTATAAGAGTTCTCATCTATTTATTGTCATTTTCCCAGAATTACTGATGTTTTCTTGTAGTTTCTAAAATTAGGCCTTCTGGTCCAGGTAGAATAGTTGGGAACATGGACAAACAACTACCTAAACAGTGTTATGAACCTGAAAAGCTCGGGAACATTGTCTGTCACCTATGTTATTGAGTTTAATGATACATTTCAGTGTAGTGTAAGGCTATCCAAAGCTACTAAATC